CCCGGAAGACGTAAGGCGATTTGTACAGATGAACGTCGACCCGACACGCATGCGAGAAACCATGAAACACTTCACAAGTTACGCCCATATTGCCGGTTCAGAGGGCGACTATGCATTGGCGATGGATGTGCGGAACGACTTTATGCGATTCGGCCTCGAACAGGTCTCTGTGGATGATTACTACGTTTACCTGAACTATCCCAAAGCGGGCGGCCGAGCTGTGGAGATTCTGTCAGAGGATGGGAAGAAGGTGACTTGGACCGCGACTCTCGAAGAGCCGGAAGTCGGAGAAGAATCCGCGGGACACCAGACATTCGTCTTCCATGGACATTCAAAGGCTGGTGATGTCAAGGGTCCTCTTATATACGCGAACTATGGTTCAAGGGAGGATTTTAAAAAGCTGGCAGAAAAGGGCATTGATACGCAAGGTGCAATCGCTCTTGTTAGATACTACGGCACCCAAGGAGATCGAGCTCTGAAAGTCAAGGCAGCAGAATTGGCCGGATTTTCTGGGTGTATCATCTACAGCGATCCTGTCGATGACGGCTTCGTGAAGGGCGATACTGCACCAAACGGCCACTACATGCCTGCAGGAGGCGTGCAGAGGGGCTCCGTTTCCTTAATGAGCTGGGTCATTGGTGATGTGCTCACACCTGGCTGGGAAAGCAAAAAGGGCCAGCCGCGCATGGATCCTGAGAAGACCGCGGGACTTAATAAGATACCGAGCATACCTTTAGCATGGCGCGATGCGCAGATCTTGCTGCAACGTATCCAAGGGTTCGGGGAGGAGTGTCCGGACGAGTGGAAGGGAGGTGTTCCTGATGTCGAGTGGTGGTCCGGTAACGCATCATCACCAGTCGTTCGACTCAAGAATGAGCAGGATGAGAACCAAAAGCAAGAGGTCTGGAACGTCTACGGGAAAATCAACGGCATAGAGCAGGCTGAAAAGTCTATCATCATTGGTAACCACCGGGATGCCTGGGCTTTCGGCGCAACGGATCCGCATTCGGGTACAGCCGTCATGCTCGAGGTGGCACGCATCTTCGGCGATCTCGCCAGTCGGGGTTGGAGACCCCTACGATCGATTGAGTTCATGAGCTGGGATGCCGAGGAATACAACATGATTGGCAGTACCGAATTCGTGGAGAACAATCTGGAGAGTCTCCAGAAAGACGCATTCGCATATATCAATCTCGACGCCGCTGTCTCCGGCCAACAATTTCGTGCTGCTGGATCTCCGGTTTTTCGTAAGCTCATCACGAAAGTTCTAGACCGAGTCACGGACCCCATATTCAATACCACCCTACTTGCGCTATGGGACGAGCGGCAAGGCGAGCTGGAGGGACTTGGATCCGGAAGCGACTATGTTGCATTCCAAGACATTGCGGGCACAAGCTCCCTAGATATTCGATTCGACGGCGAGGCCCATCCGTACCACTCATCGTATGATAACTATGAGTGGATGGAGAAAGTAGGAGACCCTGGCTTCATTTATCACGTTCTACTCGGTCAGGTTCTTGCGCTCCTTATCTTAGAACTTGCCGAGCGACCCATCATGCCTTTTGACATGGGCAACTATGCGCTCAGTCTAGGTCGCTATTTGGGACAGCTCTGGCAGTGGGCGGATAAAAAGGGTCTTATGCAGGAGAACGATAAGAAAATCAATCTCGACCCTATCAGCTATGCAGTCAAGGAAGTTGAGACGTCAGTCGCTAAGTTTGAGAGCTGGGAGCCATTCTGGGAACAGAGTGTTGTAGCTGCAAATGGATGGGAGCCAGCTGGTTTAGGAGCTAAACGGTGCGACTACAACGGGCGAATGGGGAAATTTGAAACTGATTTGCTGGATCTCGAATTTGGCGGTGGCGTAAGTTCTCTCTTACTGGAGCCACTTGGATATCACATGCTAACCTTGAAACCAGATACCCAATCGTACCCAATTCAAGCACGTCGTCTTCGGCCCGCAACTGTGGTCAGGCTATGATGAGGCGTATTTTCCTGCTATTCGAGATGCAATTGAGGTAGAAGACTGGTCGCTTGCCCAGACCATCATCGACAAGACAGCGAAGATCATCACTGATGCCGCAAAGACGCTTGTCGATACGACTTGATATCGCGGCTCCTTTTGGTAATCATTGTATCTATAACAGATGCGTCTGTATTGTTTGAAGCATTGTACGGCGTTTGTGGAGCATGGGAATACTGTTGACTCAAGATATGAGGGCTAAGAGGGTTGAGGGACTCCTCTGCTCATGTTCATATGCTTAGGTACATATCTATCAGCTGGGGATGATACGCTGTTAAGAATTCAATCTCGTTTGTACATTCTACGTTGTCAATGGATGTTTATTAGAGGTCACTTACGACGTGGTTGCGAAGAATGCTGGCGTTCCTTTTGCGACGTGGACTGGCATGATTAAGTCTGCATGTAACTACCTATTCCAGAAGTGGGCTGAGGCTCCGCCAGAAAATGCTTCATCACACCAGGCCTGCATCACACCACCTCGGGACGATTTTTTTCCTTCGAGATCGCGTTCGCGTTTCAAAGCCGCAGGGGTCGAGTCAAGAGCGATAAGCTTAATATCATAGTACACGGCATAGAACACAGACGCGCGAGTCAGCGCGTATATCCGCTGAACTACGAGCTTCAATTCGCGGGGGCACGAGACGGGGCGACACTTCTACTCGATGCCTCTGGTCTCGTGTCTGGCGATGCTGTGTGATCAAATCGTAGCTCACCGTGTGGGAAGGGCTGTCTGGGTAAGAGATGGTTGTGTTACCTCCAACAGAGCATGTGTCACGATTAGCAGCAGATTTGCACCGGCAAAGGTTGTCGCACCGATTTGCTAGGATATCGAAGGTATCGGGATTCGGGAATAGATACTACGTAGATACGTGTACGTATGTGGCGTGGCGGTGAGGCGTGCCGCAGCGGCTCTTCTGGAAATGAGGTAAGTTCGAATGGAGGCTGAGATAGGACGAATCTGTCTGCTGGATACTACCATATAACACGAATGGTATCAGCACGCACTATCATCAGCAGACCGAGGTAATATCCGCATGCCGCTTCGTGATGGAGCTTGCGAAAGACGGGCCACCACTGGGGCTAGGAAGCTAGGGGGATGAATAAAGGTACCAATTTTTTTGTCCCTCTTCGCAGAAAGCTTGACGATAATTCGAGATCTACCATATTGGGCCCTGATGACCAGGGATGCACGGGATGGCGCTGACACGTCCCTATCAGCGCCGCGTTTTGACGCCATCTGACAGCGGTGACCAGTTCCGGGACGGCGTGCAGTGCAGTGGAGCTCGTTAGGTTGGGACCCGCAGCGGTGGGAATCAAGCATTTGTTTCAAGAAATTTCCTCCGTCTTGCTGCTTATTTGGCGTCAGGGCCAGATACCACCGACGAAGCACCAGCGATAGGTATGGGCTCTGTGCAGAGCTTGTTTCCGTAGTCTTCCGATGACGATAGGGAACCTGTCTTACGATCTCCAATGCCGATGGGGCTTGTCGATGGCGCCTTGGTTTGCATCTCGCGGAGATGGAGGACCTTGCTGGTGCGAGTGAGAACCCGTCTGGTGCCCGGGGCATTAAAAGTCTTTCCCTTTTTCGCGCCGCGTGAAGCTCACATGAATACATAAGCCTGGATTGGTATGACCTCGCGGCTCGTACCGCCGCCCGAGGTCCGACTTTTCCCTGCAAGTCTGTCTCGAATCTTTGTGCTCAACTGCCTGCTTTGTGACAAGTATGACTAGCATCTTGTCCTCCTGTACTGAACGATGGAGTCTTCCCTTATGCGCGCGCCCACAGAGGTGCGCATGCTAATCTACGAATACCTATTCGACGACGGCGGCCACGAGAGCTTCTCAATACGGAACGGGCGAGCCGGGAAATTGCCCAAGTGCGCAGGGAGGACCAGGAGCCGCTACTACGTCCTCGACCGATCCTTCCATCGGCGCTGTTACGACACGACGTACCGCCTGCACACCGAGGGGGCGACCTTCTGCCCGGCGCTGATGCGCGTCAACAAGACCGTGTACGAGGAGACGTCGTACCTGGTGTACGGGGGCCACTCCTTCGACTTCGGCTCGGACATCGAGGCCGTCGAGCCCTTCCTCGCGGACCTGACGGCGCGGACGCGCGAGCTGATCCAGGAGATCTCGCTGTACAAGCGCGGGCCCGTGACCATCTACGAGAACGACCGGGCCGAGTGGCGCAACGTGTGCGACTCGCTGCGCTCGCACACGTCGCTGCGGAAGCTGCGGCTCGTGGTGCAAGGGGGGCGACCCAACGTCCCCTGGGAGGGGCCCAAGGAATTCTCGGCGGAGGACTTCCAGCTGCTGGCGGGGATCCGGCACGAGAGCCTCGAGTGGACGGCGGACCTGGGCAAGCTCGAGGGCATCAAGGAGCTCGAGATCGTGGGCGATGTGCAGTGCTGCGCCGCGCCGAATAGCTCGAACATGGTGGTGTTTGCGGCCTTCTCGGCGAGTATCGAGAGGGGGCTGGCCGAGTTTCTGAGGAGGATGTTGCATCTGTCTTGAGGCTCCAGTGAAGGTCTTGGGAGTTTAGCGATCAGACTGGTTTTGTCTTGATCGTATCGTGTTAAAGAGTATTGTTTATGGTCAAAAGTTGCTTAGCATTGCGTGCGGGACCAAACCATAGTCCTCGGGCGGCATTGTGTTGGGTGTTGAAGGTGTTGAGAAGATTCGAATACGATTTTTCTTGTCGTCTCAATTATACTTAGTCAAGGGTGTTGCATGCTGTTTCCAAACGAAGTAATAAGTATTTCACGAGCAACTGGACCTGTTTCAGTGGAGCCCCTCCAGGCATAGAGTAGTAGTAGTTCGCAATTAATACAATCTCAAAGTACTACAGCTGCAGAACGATTTAAATGAACGAGTGACACAAGTCTGTCAAGCCAAGAATGCAGTTGTGGTCGATCTTCGGGGTAGATTTACTCTATAGGCTCAGATAAGATACCAAAATTCAACAAGCTAAGAAAGCATCTTGGCGCAGTGGAAGCGCGCCGGGCTCATAACCCGGAGGTCGTCCGATCGAAACGGACAGATGCTAGCTCCGATATATTTTTTCATATTTTTTATGTCTAATTCTCCTTAGTAAGTTTTGTCCCTGTCAAGAACGCGAATTCTCTCTATTCTAGAAATGCCAGCTGTCGTGCGTCAATTGACCTCCCCTAAAAGTTCGCTGGAAGCTACATCAGTAACATCTGATGGGAGGGGCACAGTATCATAGTGTGCATGTAATATGTACATCTTCACTTTTGTCTCCTATATGGCCTGCTTAGTCTAGGGTAGCAGACATATTGCATATCAAGTTTGTCAGCTAAGCCATAGGTACCAGTTGAAAGCATGCAGCCTGTTTCTTTTTTCTCTTCCGCCTGGGCGACTGGACTGCGCGATGTAGAGCTAGCAGTGACGTGGGGTTGCCTGTCGTGTCCTGTACCTGAACTTTCAATGGGACCGCTTTTTTTGCAGGCTGGATGCCTTAAATTTCGCGTCTGCAATCCTTGCGCCTTCGCTGCAGCCAGGCTTTCCAGAGTCGCAACATGTGTGGTATACATGCATCCGTTACAAGGTCTGGCTCAGTGAAGTTATCCCCAGACCTGAAGCAATTCTTGATCGACCGGGGTCCCGACCATCTAGGCCAAGTTCATCGTGAAGTTCGTGGCACAGCCACCACGAGTGCTGCGCTGCAACTCGGGTTCACCTCTACTGTCTTGGCACTGCGAGGAGATCACGTCGCCAGGCAGCCGCTCGAAAGTCAGCGTTCCGCATCTGTGCTATGTTGGAACGGCGAGGCTTGGAAGATTGGCGGCGAGCTTGTGGATGGAAACGATGGCGAAGTGATCGTTTCCAAACTCCCAGCTGAGGAGCCGCGCCTGCCTGATATCCAAGAGAACCAGATCTTGGATCTATTACGAAGCATCGAGGGCCCCTTTGCACTTGTGTACTTTGATGCTCCGACTAACCGCCTTTACTATGGCCGCGATCGACTAGGCAGGCGATCTCTCCTTCAATTCTTTGGCGGCACAAATGCCATGCAGCTAGCAAGCGTGGCAGATGTCCCAACAGATGAGTGGGAAGAAGTCCAAGCCGACGGCATATATGTAATGAATCTTGGAGATATTCCTAAACAAGAAGACACGAATAACCTCAGATGCTACATCACTCGACATGATTGGATTCCCAACGCTGCGCCCGGCCTGGTATGTTGTCGGATGAGGAAGTAACCTTCCTACACCTAGGGATACTAACTTCATCTCAGTTGTCTAATATTGGCTTTCTCAATGCAGCTTTACCCCAGAAAGACTACAGATTAGACTTCGACTGCATTTCTCTTGGGATCCTTCGTCGTAGGCTGGAGGAATCTCTTAAGCTTCGAGTCCTGAACGTCCCAGAGCCGCCGAATTCTACTTCTGCCGTTGACATACGGATTGCCATACTATTCTCTGGGGGATTAGACTGTTCTATCCTGGCAAGACTCTGTCACGACCTACTGCCGCTTAGTCAAGGAATAGACCTGATCAACGTTGCGTTTGAGAATCCTCGACAAGTCGCCCTTGCTAAAGCGCAACCACATCTACGCGCAGCGGACTCATACGAGGCCTGCCCGGACAGGGCAACAGGGCGACAATCCTTCGCTGAGCTGAAGACTACCTGTCCAGGCCGTCTTTGGCGATTCATAGCCGTACGTCGTCCATCCGTCGTAAGATTTCCGTATGTAGCAGCTTATGGTCGAATCTAGGTCAATGTTCCTTTCGAAGAGGCCATGTCCCACAAACCCAAGATATCAAGTCTCATTCATCCCCATAATACCGAGATGGACCTTTCCATTGCATTCGCTCTATACTTTGCTGCGAGGGGAATCGGCGACTGTTATATCGGTAGTACAGAATGGGAACCCGAGCCACGAGTAGCTCCCACACCTGCGCGGGTTTTGCTCTCGGGACTCGGGGCGGATGAGCTGTTTGGGGGCTACGCGCGCCACGAAGTCGCGTTCAAGCGAGACAATTATCGCGGACTAGTAGAAGAATTGAGATTGGATGTTGGACGAATCGGTCAGAGGAATCTGGGTCGGGACGACAGGACTATGGCTCACTGGGGAAGGGAAGTCCGCTTTCCTTACCTCGACGAGGAATTTGTCCGCTTCGCCATCGAAACACCTGTGTGGGAGAAGTGCGACTTCCAGAACCCATTCCATCCCGCAGTCATTGAGCCTGCCAAACGATTACTACGATTACTGGCAGACCAGTTGGGCCTCCCGAAAGCTGCCAGGCTAAAGAAGAAAGCGGTAAGGCCTGTCTATGATTTGTGGCGATCCAGAACTAACGATTCGAAGATTCAGTTTGGGTCACGTACGGCCAAGATTGAAAGCGCAACGGGTAGGCTTCGCGGCACAGCAACAATCACGGCCTCCATACCCGCAAATCATTAATTGGACCGGAGGTATGAGTACTTCTTTTTGTGTCGTGTGCCTTGACCCACGTTCGTCCTTATTCTTCCTGTCTTGCACTCGTACAAGCTCCACGGCTGTGATGATCCATCAGATACTTCCGAGTTGGCGTGCGTCAACACCTTACTTGGTCATCGATGTGTGTTTCAGTGCCTACTGTAACCCTTTGGAATCCTGGTATTCGGTATGCCGCCAGCCATGACGTCGTTAAAGGCAAGTCTGAGCCGTGTGAGCAATGCTCTGACTACAATCTGACCGAGACACGGGCGGGATCGACGCTTGTCTTTATAAGCCCTCCATAATTTTCTCCCTTCACCTTGCTTCCCTCTACATGCTGCTGGCTACCCTATTCCCTTTCATTGACTTGCGACTTAGGCTCTACTGCATTCTATGCCATGAAGTGACACGCTGCATGGAAAGTTCGCTATCCGATACCAGAAATCTGCCGAGACTGAGACACAGTTCAAATGCCGTAAACTACCGTATTCCAAGAAACGTGCGGGCCGATATCCAATAGTCGATCACGCCTCGCTGTTCAGGAAGAGTAGCGGTAGATTTTAGCAATGACGAACGGAGTGACCCTTACGCAGAGATGAGCAAGCTTGTCTAGCGATGTCTAGCAATCAAACTCTCCAGCGTATGCCCTCAGTCCTGGTAGAACATAGGTCTTCCCCATAAGGATCCGCCCCAAAGCTGCTTCATAATACACATCACACCGGGGACATGGAGAGCGACCTGGTTGTTGCTGTATACCGCATAAAGCTCTACTGTTTCTCGTTCTGGGCATAGATAAAGTTCGCAGCTTTATTATTATCAGTTAGCTCTTATAAGAATTTGCCGGGATCAGCACTCACCGACAGGCTCGAGGCCATTTTTCAATGCCCAGTCCCTCACACCGTGCCTCTCCTTCCCAGTACCCCAATGCTTCCGGTCATCAGGCTTCGTCAAGTTCAGTGCTTCGGTGGTGCCATTTGTTGGTGTGAACAAGAGGAAAACATATCGGTGCTTGCCAGTCTTGGGCGGCGGGCCCGGGGGCTTGTACGGCACAACATCATCGAGACTATATCCGTCAAGAGAAAGCTGGGTATCTGATGAGGACGACGAAGTGACACCTGTCGCGATGAAATGGCAAAATTCTGACCACTTCGGATCGTCCCGTGAGGGCGCATCCGGGTCGGTGATCGTGATGGCATATGTTACGCCTGGTTTATTCAAATTCACAAGCGATTCATCAAACTGCATCGTAATCGTTGGTTCCTTTTGGACAGTGTCGACTTTGAGTGTGTTACCGAGTGATGCAAATACCTCATCGGACCATTTGGCCTCGAGAGCCATAGACGGCACGAAGTCATCGATGACTAATTTGTATAAGTAGATGTCCATATACGGACCAAACAGGCATTTTACCTGTCGGTATAATTTCTGCTTTCTTCAGTCTACCAAGGTCAGAGTTCTGTATCTCTTTTCCTCGAGTGCCAACGTACTCATCTTGAACCTTGCCCATGGCAGGCTTGGGATTTGCCAAGCGAAGGGGTATTTGATCACCAGCCCTGGCTGCGGCCGCCAGCGGCAGAAGACTATAAAACTTCATATTGCCTGACTCCTAATCACTGGATCGCTTGGTTCGATACAAAATTCCTATGGTTGATGCCGGAATGACTGCATACACCTAGGCTAACTGTCCTCTGAGTTATTTACCAACTGCACGTACCTGACCGCCCAAGCCGGAACCCCGCAGCCACTGTGATGTCATCGCCGTTTCTGCGATACAAATTGCGTTTCAACTCAACTCCACCGCCTAGGTATCACACGGTCTTCACCTTCTCTTGTCTCGTCATTCTCCGTCTCTCGTGCGATCAAAACATCAATTAAGGTTGTCGGAGCTAAGCGTCGGATATAGTAATCAAATCAATACAGTTCGTCCCAATGCCGTGGTTTGCAGGTGGACCTGAAGAACCTTGGTGGCAGCTGCTGTAGCGCCCGTCTACTAGCTACAGCACCTATGTATGTACCTACAGCACCTAACCTACAGTGGATAATGTACGGGGCTTACTCAAGATAGCCGTTGCTCTGCCTGTCCGCGTGAGCTTCAGGGAATATGAAAGCTGACGTCCACATACTTAATGAGCATAGCCATAGCTTTCGTATACTGTTCAGCGAATACATACACTCTCCATTCCTCACGATGCCAAGGGTGCAGCACTGCACCGTACCTTAGGCATCTCGGGGTATCCGAGTACCCCGAAGATGACATCTCCGCAGTGAAAGGCCTCGGCACGTACCGTATTTGGGCAAACCTGGGGAAGTCGACCGAGGCGGGCACATCCACACAACCCCTGGCACAATGCGGGGGAAGCTGAAGAGAGGCACGACGGCGAAGATTGGAAGGATCGTCATTGGACAGTCTCGCCGTTATGAGGTGCCGTTTTAAAGCAGTGTTCTTGTGCGACTGGCATTTCAGTCAACCAGTTACTTTGTGCTCACTGCCTTAGGTACATTGATTCATTGCGATAAACATTCGTGGGTACCGATATAGCAAGAAGCAAAACGTAGGGCTACTGCCAAAGACCGTTGACGAGGTTGACCAAATACGGCGAACG